CCTTCCCTTTCTTTTTTCCTACTATGTAGAAAAATCTGGTAAGTAATATCAAAGCATGACCTCTTCACGTTGCTTTCAGGTTGAGAATAGCGTGCTTCTTGCCAGCCACTGTTTCTCATCACCTAAAGATAAGCAAGTTGGTGGTTTCCATTTTATCTGCCCTCATGCCCTTGCAGACCTGACTATGACATCCAGTTGACTAATAGAAATGTACTTGTCTATGTGAAGGTAAAACTTGATGAAAACAGTTCAGTCAGCAATAAAAATGGTAATGATAAAAGCTCATTTGGTAATAAACACCACTTAGCATGGAAAAAATCATTTTTCCACTCGGCCTGTTTTGTTTTGGTAACGAATTCCTGGGTATCTTCCAATATTGTGTTATCAGATGCTGCAATGAGTGACAGTAATTTGGAAACAAGAACTAGTACAACAGATGTAACAGCAAGTCAGCATGTGCTGGTGTGTGCGCTTCAGGAACTCGGAAGTCTCATCCACAGCTTAGGAACTACAGCAGCACCGTTACTGCAAGACTCCAGCGCAGGTACAAGCCATGAATTATTTTGTGAATCAGAGTTCAAAATATATTCCTTTATGCACTGTGATCTTCTCTGATTTCCTAAGGCTAGACTGTCGATTATTTCAAATCGGTTGGGATGCTTTGCCTGGCATTGACTATAGCAACCTTTCTTCTGGCATGCAATCTCCTCACCTGCACCTCCTTACATGCTGTAAGAAATCTTCAGGCAGTGCCCAAAGAGTTCTGTATGATCTCCAACCTGTGCTAGTATGTTAATTAAAAAAAAAAAAGTTAAAAAAATTGATATTAAATTTAACTCCATTAAGAGTCGTATTTAAAGTCCGACACTTCATAATGTTTATAGTAAATCAGTTTGAATGAGCTGGACAACTTCATCTACGTTTAGTGTTTTCATTCAGGTGCATTTTTTTTGAATGAGTTCAAGGAGACAGATAAAACATTTGCATGGATTCCTGCATGGGATTTCTGTTTCCTTGAGAATACTTACTGTGCATGTTGGCAAATAAGTGCATGATACGTTAAGATTTCTCCATATTGTTTCTTTCCACTGAGGATAATTTGTTTTTGAAAAGTAATGAAATATTTACATTTGGTAAGTAATGTTTCACAATAAAAATCAAATAGAAGTAAGAAACTGGGTAGTGGTATGTTCACCAGTCAGCTGTATACATTTTTGCTTGTTTGGCAATCAGCTTTCGTATTTCTTAGTTGTGTTTGTGTTTTGTTTTTCAGCTGTTCTGGAAGCAGTAATTTCTGTCATTGTTCATCCCAGCATTTCAGTGAGACTAACAGCAGCTTGGTGTTTACGCTGTATTGCGGTAGCATTGCCTTCCTATGTGTCCCTGCTGCTGGATCGGTGCATTGAACGTCTTGGTGTGTTGAAATCGTCCCCAGAAGCAGTAACTGGCTACAGTTTTGCTGTTGCTGCTTTGCTGGGTGCAGTAAAACACTGTCCTTTGGGAATTCCACATGGAAAAGGGAAGGTATGGTCTGAATACTTTACTTACAGGCTGTTCTTTGATGTTTTTGCAGTAGTATTTGCATGTATTCTTTATTACATGATCACATAACCCGACATAGTGATGAGATACTTTCTTTCCTCACAAAGGGGATTTTGAAGCATACTGTAACTCAAATAACCAAGTGTTTTTTCTCACATGTATCAGGAATATGAATTTCTCAGGAAATGCAGTAATGACTTTATTAATCATGCATAACCCTTCCTTTTTCTAATGGAGTTATTTGCTAGGAGAGAAGATTGTTTTGAGACTGAGGTCAGTCCTGTGGAGCTGTAAGGACTTAAACAGAACTGTTTACCTGGAGAAAACGTTGCTGGGTAGAGTTACGTTTTTCAGAATTGCAGAATAAATTCTTTCCAGCAAGATCAAAACTTCTGCAATTCTGGCCATTTGGACATTGGCTTAAATTACAGATCTGACATTTCAGCAGTGTTAGTGGTGAGAAAAAGGTAGTGTGGAGGACATACAGCTGAGATGTATCAGACGTTGCCAAAGGAAAATATTTTTCTTTTATAAAAAAATAATTAGAAGTATCCATACAGATCTATTGCATGCTGTGATGCTTGAAATAACCTTTCCTGAAGGGAAATTTGTTCAACCATGGATTAAACCAAATTAATATTTCAAAGGCCCATCAACGACTCTCTGATGTTACAGTTTAGTCAGTGCTTACACCAATAACAGCAGTTTTGTATTGTCTTGAAAATCTTTGGTCCAACAAAAACTTTAATCAAGTCCAACAGATACGTGCTTTCATTTTGGTTTACAGATTTTAACAGAAACTCGTTTCTTGCATTAACTTAGTCTAAAATGCTTGTCTCTCCACTAGTGCAGAGAGGAGATGCTGTCCTCTGAAATTTTAGAGATATGCAGATTTAGAAATACAGACCAGAAGCAGCTCTTTCCATCTTAATGAGAACTTTATCCATGAAGTTACAGCTGGAAAACCATGGTGCAACACAAACATCAGCAGTAGGTGCTAATTCTCTGCATAAGGTAGAAACTCACTTTCTCAGTTCTGTTTTGGAGCCACTGGACATTAGAAAAGAAGTGGCACACTTCAACAGAAGGACTGGGGATTTTTTCTTGTTATTACACCACTATAAGATGAAAGGAATGTTTTAACATGTTAGGAAAAATGTCCCTTGCGGTGATTCCAGCCCACTCTTTCCACATTGTTAAGCGCTAACAGTTGCATGCCGCTCCCTAACAGACATTGCTAGCTACAGTTCTCAACATTCAAAGACCCAACCGCTGATGAAACAATTTATAAATGTGAAAAAAAAGAAAGAAAAAGCCTGTTTTTCTTAGCTTTTAAAAACTTTTCCTTGTGATCATGAAAGACCACGAGGAGAGAACGAAATTGAATATTGTTTGCCAAGTCATATAGATAAGAAGTGCTGTTCGAGTACTGTCCACCTAAGCAGAGCTAAAGTTTCCGTTTAGCAGAGAAACATAATTCTGAACAAAGATTTCTTTTAGAGTAATAGAATAGGATGAAATAGGACCAGGAGGAGGTATGAGAGGGAGTGGAAAAGTGTGGGAGAAACAGTATTCTGTAGCAAGCTGGCAGGGGGGAGAGCAGAGGAGCTGACAAAAGCCCTTTCCCATTCTCTCCTAGGAACGCTGCCAGATTCCAGATTAGCTCCTCTTCTGAGGAACTGAAAGAGACCAGTGTTAAATAGAGCAGTTTTGAAAAGGAAACATCGAACGCAGGCAGTAGTGACCTGGACAGAAGCTGTTTTATAGTAATGTGTTTTCCTTTGTGAATGTGCTTAAAGTTGCAGGTGGAACTTCTTCAAGAGAACAAAATAATTAGTGGGTTTGTATGTATTTAGCATTCCATACTAGTGCTTATACTTCAATTTTAAAAAAATCCTTCTAAAGACATGTGTCCTAGTACATAGAAAATTTGTCAGACATCATTAAGGTACATCCTCTCTAAGTTGCTTGGTTTACAGGTAATTTAAGTATAATAAGCCTTTAGTGATGTTTAGTAGTACAATTTAACAAGGGTACTGTTTCAATTTTAGGATCAAATATTTTAAATCTATCTGGAGTCTATAAAAAGCAATTTCTTCATTTGCAGCCACCTGATAACGTTATGGAACTGGGGAAGCTGATATTTTCAGACTGTTAATATTTCATGAAGTTTTGAAAGTGTACTAATTTCACACTTTAATGGAGTGAACTTCCGTGATGTTTTATAAGTGTGCCAATAAATTTTAGAAGGCTGCTGTCAATACTATTCAAATAAATTCTAGTGAGCAAAAAAAATTATATAAGGATGTTGTCTGTACTGAGGCTTTTAATTATATTATTGATAATGACACTTCTTATTTGTAATACTAATTTATAAACAGTTTATTGTGGTGACTAGACACGATGCAGGATGTAAGAGGTACTTTGTGGCATATGTGAAACGTTAACTGAAGCAAACCACCTGCAGAATACTTTTAGCATTTGTAGCCATTCTGCAGTAATAGTCTGCGGATGCGGTGTGTTCCTCCATGTAAGTTCTAGGTACCTTGTGCTTTGGTCAGGAGAGCAGATAGTCTCCGTGCATTTAGCACATCCCAGCAGGCACGTGCAATTGTTGCAGAGAAGCTAACGTGAGAATAATTCTAACTACAATCCTAACTTGTTCGTTTACTCACACCACTTGTGGATCTAAAAAACTGTCAGAGAAAATGATAGACCTTATTCTAAAACAAAGATAAAAAGATCGTTACCTCTCTTGTGAGCTCTAATTTACAGATCTCAAGCTATGCTTTTTCTACGTAGTGACATAAATAGAATATCGGGACACTTCTGTCCTTGCAATGCATATTCCTGTGAGAATTGTTAGCTGTCGTTTTACTGCTGATAAATGGGGACTCAAAGTAACAAAGTAAGTCACACGGAACTAATGAAGCTGCCCCAGACTCATAAGGAAATTAGTTGCGACTTCCTGAGCCCGAGTCTGTTGCTACAGTGTGAGAAGATGATGGCATTCTGTGTGATGACACTGAAATAGGATTAAGTATCACAGTAAATAGTATTGACAAAACATTTGATAGTTGCTAAAATGCTGATACTCTGTTTTTCTCTTTAACTTTGAAGGTAATCATGACAGTAGCAGAGGATTTGTTATGTTCTGCTTCTCAAAACAGTCGCATGTCGCTGCAGCGAACACAGGCTGGATGGCTGTTGATAGCTGCCCTCATGACATTAGGTAAGTAGCTTTCTACAATTTTTCTTAAACTGCATTCAGCTGTTTTGTGTTCTCTCTCTGACTTTTGTTCTTGTGATGTTTTGTTTGATTTACAGCTACAAAATAATTCTAAAAAACCCCAAATGTTAATTGGAATATTTCAGAAAACTTTGCAAAACAAAAAATGACGTTTCTTTTAAATTTGCTATTAGTTCAGACATTGGGAGCGATGTCTGAGAAAGAGTGGCTGAGTGAGGTCACTATAAATTAAATGTAGAAGATCAATTTCTAAGTCAATCTAACTAAATGTCTTCTGTGATCGTGAGGAGGTACACTGAACTAATAATTTGTATTTCCCTCTTACCAGGCATTTGAAATCTTGCAAAACTTTATTATGTTTATTAGTGGCTGAATTATTGACTGTGATCCCTAAATTACTGATTAAGAACGTATTTTATCTGGTTTGTTCATAATTTTAAGGTACCTTTCATGTTTTAAGCTATTACTTCTGCTCAGGTACTCACAATTTTTTCTTGGATTAGGGAAAACACACCATGCGCACTACTCTGCAACAAATGTTTGCTTTTCTGAACATTGCTATTGCTTCTTACATCTCCTTTTTGCTGGTGACCCATGGAGTCTGCACCTGGTGAAACAGCGATTGTAGTTGCCATAGTGGCATACTGGTAACTCTGTCAGTGGGTATGTAGTTATGTATGAAAATGGAGTACCAAGACAGTAAACAGTTGGGAAGTGATATATGAGAAGGTGGGGAAAGTAGCATCAAATTTTGTTCACAGCTGTAAAGGTTTTTGCAAAGTCAGGAAAAAGAACGAAAGAGAAAATCTAATTTTATTAATCCTTACATGCCAACTGTCAATGTTTACAGGTCCTGCAGTTGTCCAGCACCATCTGCCACGAATGCTGTTACTGTGGAAGTGCATATTTCCCTTATCTCCTAAAGACCTAGAAACAGAGAAGACACGGGGAGATTCATTTACCTGGCAAGTAACACTGGAAGGTCGTGCTGGTGCTCTCTGTGGTAAGCAGGATTCACTGTGTCTTCCTCTGCATATTTATAGTTGGGCTGCTTGTCTGTCTTTTCTTCTGAAAGAATAGTGGTGCCTCATATTGATGTCAGTATTCACTCTTCAGCATACGCGCTTATATATACACATCTGAATATACATGTGTGTGTATATGTATATATATATATGTTTCATTTTTGTAAGAAACAAACACAAAAACCCTAAGAGGTGTTTTCCTCTTGTTCTTCTAATCGACTGGTTTCCAAGCAGTAACTGATAATCAGGAAGGTTGCTTCTCTTCTCTCAACATAGGTATCACAGTAATGAATGCAGACCTAAACCAGGGTATATTCTGTTGTTTTTACAGTCTGGTGTATTTGGTGAACAGCAGTTGTGTTTCCTAATAGGTCGCTTCATGTAAGCAAAATAGAATTGGTAAGTCAAACGCTTCTGTGAGAGTGGGAAAACTCGTGTAAAAAAATACAATAAAGAAGCTTCAGTTCTCAGCCAGTAAAGAGTATTATATGTTTGGCTGCCGTCTGGTAGGTTGCAGTTTTTCATCAGGAAATACTGTGAATTTGGGTTTCCAGGACACGACTTGAGTGATCTTCAGATACTTAGTGTGATTTAGTCATGTATTCTAGCATGTTAAAGGGTCCTTTCCACTGCAGAAATGGGAACCCTAGTATAGTGATCACCTCACTCACTATTAAAATCCGTCAGACAGTGTGAAATTCAGTAGTAAGTTCATTTTACAAGTAACCTAAGCAATTAAACCTTAAACTATATTTTCTTTTGGAAATAGATCCTTAATACTGTATATTAGGTGCTTTTTGAAAATGAAACACAAGTTTTAATTTTCTGTAAATAGTGAAAACCACTTACATTACGTATAAGCTGTTTCTTAAAGTACAATAATTAAGCTAAATTTTATTAGAGGACTAGCAAAGTAAGCAGAAGATAGTCTGATCACTGTCCTTAACCCTTTTCTTCCATTCTTTTAATTATGGTCATGGAATTGTCATGAAGGTGAGATATACCACATAATTCATAACAAAAAGCTGGAAATGCTTGCATTTGTATATGCAATTAAAAGTCAATGTCCAAGGTGAGACACCAAAACAGTGCATCTGTAAATATGGGTTTTTTCATTTTAATATTTTATCTGTTTCTTAAATTACTGTTCAAAACATTTTCAATTTTTTTTGCATACTTTCTTCTACTATTAAATTATTAGTGAGGTAATAATGTGATTACTTCACTAATGTGATTTTTTTTTTTTCTTATGGATATCTTATGAAATCCAATTCCTTTTCTAGCTATGAAAAGCTTTGTTTCCCACTGTGCTGGTCTTCTAATGGATGAAGTTGTTCAGAGACTTCTTCCTCCTCTCCCAAGTGCTGTTGATTTATTGACACAGTAAGTGTGTTTATGAAACTATCAAATGCGATCCTGATTTGGGGAAGCGACAGAGTAATCTTGTATTTGATTTAGTGCACTTCATAAATAACTTTCTTTTCAAGGTACAAAAATTACAATGTAGAGTTCAGCCTTATAGCTGAAGACTTTAGCTGGCATAAGAATGTGTCTTGCAGATTCCAGTATTGTGTAAAAAAGCTAGGGGAGAAATTGTTGCATGATTTTTTTAAGTTAGTGTTTTTATTCTGCTTTTTTAATCAAACATACACGTCTGTGCTTACACATGGTCACTTTTACCTTAAGAATATTTAATTATTTAATGTATTTGAGATCTAAAGTCTAACTTACAGAGATAGATCAAAAAGAACCCCAGGTTAATTGTAGTAAATATTGGTACAATCAAAGGAAATAGGAAACTTTGTTCATTTCTCTGGTATTAAATAAGAATAATGACTGGGAATGGAGAACAGATGTTCTGTCAGAACCTGTGAAATTAGGGTTTGCTTCTACGATTGGTAATGCAGATCAGAACTATACTTATAATATGTTCAGATTTTGGAAGTGTACAGTGAAGTGGTGCAAATGAAACTGGAGTGTTGTAGAATGCTTGAAGTCTTTAACGTGTCTGATGTGCTTTTTATATTTTAAGGCTTTCCTCAATATATAAATCCTATGGAAATTCTTTAAAAACACCGTCAACAGTTTACAGACATAAACTTTATGAATTACTAGCAGTATTGCCTCCAAAGACCTATGAAGGTATGTGTTTCTTTACAAAGAGAAATTAATAAAAAATACCATGGACTTCTTTATAAGTTTTTGTTCAACATGTATTTAGCTGGCAAGAGTTAGTTCCGACTTTTCTAATAAACAGATTTTATTCCCTCTGTTTAGATTTGGTGAAATTGTAGTGAAGTCACTGTGGTTTTGAAGAATAGTGTTCATACTCTTGTTTTCCACTCTCGTATTACAGACTTTTGTCGTATTTTTAGTTGAAACCTGAAGGTAGACAACCTTGCAACTTTATGTGAAAAACTGAATTTCTTTGCCTGTTTTACTTCCCCTTGAATCCTAAATCCAGAAGATGTAATCTTAGTATAACCCAATTGCATATAGTCTGTTGAAGAAATTTAATTGCTTTGAGTTGGATATTATATATTGATCTGATCCTCTGCAGATTTTGAATAAAAATTTTAAAGAAAAACAACAAAATCTAGAGATAGACTTACTCTTCTGTAGCAGAATGTAACTAGCGGTATTTGAAATCTAATCCTCTGGTCCAGTAGCTATGCACTGGAGTTACACAGGTCTAACAGTTCATCTAAAACAAGAAATACCTTTGTTGCCTTTAAATTGTTGGCCACAGAACGCTGTGTGGGCTGGAATAAGGAGCCTGTGTGCTTCTGGCAGTTGTAAAGAGCGAATTTCATCAGGACAGAGAGAATATGGGCCAGCTGGGCACTGGATTGACTCTGTCCTCCCTGTCATGGAGGGAATCCTTACTCAAATAATCTGCTCCATCTAGTGGTAACTGCCAAGTGTTCTTCGTAGGGACACATCCCTGACCTTTGCCTTAAAGCTGCTGTCACATCAGAAGTCTGTATGGAACACTTGAAACATAGTGTATAACATTCATTTGAGACGTGGGCTTAAAAGACTGAAAATTATGCCTCCATCTCTTACAGCAGGTTATTTCTTTTCGTTCTTCTGTTACAGAGGCAATGTTTTATAGAATAGGAATATTTGAGTATGGGTGTGTTTGGCAATTTCTTGGTATGTTTGGGATTTATGCATTTGGTCTAACTTGACTGAAAAATATGCGGTGTTTTTACAGTGACCTGCAAAGCTTGACTTTTGTGAGAGAGCATCCTGTAGCTAAGGATGCTGCATTCTAGAACCAATAAATAAAGAAAACGCTTGAAAGGTTTCTTATTTTATTTAAGTGGTCACCCTGCTGAAAGCTTTGTAAATAACCTTAGAATTGCAGCAGTAGTTTGACAGATGTAGTCTCAGTGTAGTCTAGTTGTTTGTACTGCAGCAATATGAGAGTGGGGAAGGGATGGAAATGCGTACAGTACCAGACAGACCTTGTTTCCAAGGTCTAGTACTCTAGCATTTTTTAGCCTAGAAGTACACATAATTTTAAAATGCAAAGAAAAGTTTTTAAGGTAAAGCTTGAAAAAATCCATTCTTTCCGTATTATTTCCAGTATGATAACTTCATGCAGAAACTATGTCTTTGCAAATACTAGGATTTTTAAAAATAAATTATTTGGGAAAACAATATGATAGTGAAAACCAAGATGCTTTTTTTTTTTCGATCTCTAGTTTTAGTCATTATCACTAGGAAGAGTATTAGGCATCATCTTGTGTTGGGCAGTCTGGCACATTTTACATGGCTCAGAGTGACACATGAAATGAGAAACTTTGACTAGTTCATGGTTATATGTCTTTTCATTTTCTTCAGTCCAGGTAGTTACCAAGAGGCTAGAAACCTGCAAATTGTTTCTTTCTGAGAAAATTGGTGATGAAGTTGTCACTCAAGCGTTTATTATTTGCCAGTAACAGGCAAAGCTTGTTTTCTTTAGCACAAGAGGAACAAAACAAAATACCCATGAAAATAAACCACTGAAAGGTTTATTTATAGCTCAAAGCCTCTTTCTCAATTCAGACCTTTGGATTTCTGAGGTGTGACATACTGGGAGTTGTTTAGACCCTGCCAGGTTCTTTCCTGCTCTCTTTCTGTCTCTCTAATACTGCTTTCTGTCATCACTGTAAACCAATATCTGCTCAAAACACAGAATTTTATGAAGGTTTACTGTGAGCGTGCATAAGTAGTAGCCGATATTTTTTTGCATTATTTCCACAATGACCGATATGGAAAGAATGTATCAGGTTAACTTGAACATCAGTGAAATGCGTCCAGCGTGTTTCCGTTGCTGTGTTCCGTCATGTGTAAAAGGTTCAGGTTTTGCAGTTTAGCTGATCCAAAGTAAGGACTTGTTACCGTGGGAAAAGTTGATTCTCTTTCTAAGATGATGGTTCGTATTTGTGATAACTTTCATCTGTCATTAGTCTTCAATTATAATGTGCTCGTGCTTTAGAGACTAAAACGTGAGTCAATCTAAAAAATGTAATTGTTTTAGTATCAGTTTGAGAATTTCAAACAAATCATTTCAGCAAGTTGAATTTCGGTTATTAGATTTGTTGATGTTTTCCGTGGTCTGAAATTAATGTGTTTTGTCAGACAACTCATTAGCGTTCTTTTCATTCTTCAGCTTTTTGTGCTTGTTATGTTCCACTGTCTAAACCATAAAATTGAGTACAAGCATTCTGTTTTCTTTCTTAATAGGATGAGATGAATAGCTAGAATGTTGGAACAGCGTTTTGGGTCCAAATTTTGAGCTGCTTTGCATTGGGATAACATTATTTGACGTGTTGAGGATGGCCAAGTGTCTGGGACTGAAATAAATGTTAATTTATTTAAAAATTACTGAGTATCTCCATTAAATTTTGTTTTAAAAGCTATTTTCATAGAAAAGAGGTTTTTCAATTTTTTTTTTATTGTGACCTATAATAATTAACGAAAGCAGTTTCTAGTTGGTTTTAAGTATGTGGTTTTTTAAAAGGGCTCAATTTCAGAATGCACTATGTGTGCATTTTGGAATATATTTAATAGTGCTAACTTTTTGCATTTAGATTTAAGTTAAGCTTTTTGGGGAGCAGTCAGGGAGGCAAAGCAACAAAAGCCTGCAGAGGAGGGAAGCTGATGGGGACAGGAGCTGGGAGGCAGGCAGTCAGCTCTCAAAAGGAATTCAAGATTCAGAAAAGGGTGAAAGAGCACGTTGCACCTCCCGGCTCCCGCTGTACAAACGGTTCTGCTTGTGCTGATGAGGTGCCGGTAACTGGGTTGTCCCACTTTTTGGGGTTTCCGTGTGCTGGAAAAGTATAAGCAACTTCAGATCAAGCAGGCGATTGTGTGATCGTCTAAGGACAAAACTGAATGCAAAGAGCTGTGTGTGTAGAGTTAAGCCCCTCTTAAGGCTGATCCTTCCCAATTCATGAGGACTTGACTTCGCAGTCTGAACGGGCTGGAGGTAAATTCTTACGTAATGCTTACATAAAGACTCTGCATATTCTGTAAGATCAGTTCCTCAGTGTTTTTCAACTCAACTCGCTTACAGATATGCCAGACATTTCTCAGCACTGGGAATGTTCTCTGACTGCAGGGACTATCTTAATAACCTCAAATAGTCTGACTCAAAATGCCTGATTTTTTTTCAATGTTTAATGTATAATCTTGTCTGATATACAGTGTACAAAAATGTGACAGTTTTAACTACTAGTGTAAATTATCATAATGCAACCTACAGTAAATTCCTTATGCTTTACTTTTTGAGTGTGAACTCCTGAAATAGAGTAATACATTCTGCAGCTTTTGGTTATTTATTAAACTTACGGATGTTTTAAATTGCGTCTGCTTGCCAAGCCCAAGTATTCCTGCATGGTTATGTAATACATTCCACAGCATTAGTTTTCAGGAAATAGAAGAAAATACACTTGTGCTCGTAATTGCCTTTTTGTAAATTACCTTAAATGTAAATGTAACTGTCTTGCTGGATTAGCAGTGGTATGACATTATGCCTTCTGTAAAGGTAAAGGTCTCTATTTTTCAGCTTCTAGATTGTTGTGTGTGCTTAGTTTGCTCACCACAGAGCTGTGTTGTTTCTTCTGTAGGAGAGTGTTCTCCGGTTAACTAAGTGAGGATTTAAGAAAAATGTTAGATGCACGTTTCTACTTCAGTGTAAATATGTTGCTCCCAAAGGTGCTTGTGGCAAGTAACTAACTGAAAATTTTGAATGTTTTTTTCCTTTAATTTAAAGGAAGCTTCTGTGCTGTTCTGAAAGAGTTAGTGGCTGACTTGACTGTCCCCGATAGCCAGATTGATGCCTCTACATTCTTACTTCCACCCCTTTGTCATGAGAATGATCTGCTTTTACTTGGTCCCTTACTGCAGGAAACTGACCACCGATTTATCGAAGAGCAGGTACTTTTGGATCTAGTATAATGGTGGTATCACATTTTCATACAATTCTAGTTATTTGTGTCAAATTTGGTGAAAACTATAGCTATTGCTTTTTCCCTTCCTACAGCTCCTTTTAGGTAACAGCATAGCTGGTGGCAGCCTGGAGTACGACCCTTACTCAATTTATGAGAAAGTTGTAAACGGTGATTCAGTACCTAAACCACTACCTCCTGTATTGTCTGTTATCAGTGCGGCAACTCGTCTCTTTGGAGTTATGTTTTCACATTTAGCAGAATCTCAAAGGTAAAGTAGTAACTGTAACTGTTGGGGAATTTGGGAGATGCTGAAAGGTGGTTACACTGTTTTGGAAGTTGAACACAGGAAAAAAAATTCTGAAAAAATAATAAATTGTTTAAGTGGGTTCTGTAAACTGTCTGAATAATATGACTCAGACTAACAAATCATTAGACTTTCTGTTTAAAGTCACTCCCCATGAAAAGGCACATCCAGTAAGAAGATGACCATCACTATAATAAATTCCGTGGACAAAAAAATAAATAATGTTTTGTTTCAATAGCCAGATTAAAATAGAAGTTATTATAAGAGATACTACGTGATTGTTACAGTGCTTAACACATAATTACTTAGAAGCAAAGAGGGACAAAGAGGGTAGGAATCTGCAGTAAAATTTAAACCTTATCCTGCCTCGTTTTTCCTAAAAAATGAATGGAAAGAAACAAAGAGTGTGTGTCTTAACACAGTTCTGTCAAGGTACAAGAATTCTTGAAAGGGATCAACAACTTCTTTTGGTGGTGTATGTGTGTATGTATCTCCCTGCTGCCTGCGTTTTGGGTTGTTTCACATTTATAAGCACACTGATTACCGAGGCATGAAATTCCTCAAAACTTTTGCCAGCTGTTGCTTATTCTGTGTGCTGATGGTAATTTTCCTGAATGTAGCAGTAGAGCAAATAAATTATTTTTAAATCGAACAGCTTTATAATTTCAAAGCCAGCTGTAGTTAGAGCTTGGATTGTGATCAGTGGTGATGGTTTTCTAATTTCCTGTGAGGGATAAGTGCTTAGCATGCGAGTCCCGAGTCTCGATGTCTTTGCTGCTTAAAACGTTTGGGGTTTAGTTTAATCCCGAGGCAGCTGTTTGGAGATAAGCACACCTGCCAATAAAATCACCACATGCCTTATGAGAGGTTCTTCTGACTTGCATTTACCTCCTTATTCTGTCTGCAGTGACTGCTTTTTTTTTCTTGTGTTTTTTTTCTGTTTCTCTGGGCTTTTTACTATTTGGTTTTCTTCACCTGTTTCTCAATACCTGGACTAATAGCTGCAGATAACTGCAATTTTTCTTTTATTTTTCCTTTTCTTTCTGCTGTTTTAATTGTAAGTCTAAATGCATCATTCCCATATGCAGTTCCTTTCAATAACATTTCTCTAATGTTACTTGGTTATAAGTGATTATTTGTGAATACGTATGTTGTAAGGAAACAAAAGCAAAAAGTTCATGTTCAAACAGTAATTACCCGTTCTAATATGGAATACAATTTCTTTTGTAGTAGACAGAGATGCCAATTGAAAGAAAATGCTCAAGACTTAGGGTAATAGATTTGTTCCACCTCTGTTTCTGTAATGTGTAGGCTTTGTTATGTGTTTTAAAATAAATAAATAGGTTGGATTTGTTTCCTTCATTTTTAATTTTGAGATTTCTTTTCTGTTTTTGTTTAAGGCTTCAGGTGTTAGAACAGTTGTTGAATTCCATAAAGCAAACAAAAGGATCCCGGCAACAAATAATACAGCTAAACGTAGTGTCAGCCTTTTCTACTTCCTTAAAGGTAAATCTCCTCTCTCCTTTGTTTCTCTCCTTTGTTTCTCTCCTTTGTTTCTCTCCTTTGTTTCTCTCCTTTGTTTCTCTCCTTTGTTTCTCTCCTTTGTTTCTCTCCTTTGTTTCTCGTTCTGTTACTAAAGCATGGCATTTGTGGTTCAAATGTGTCTACACACAAGTTTTTGTTTTGATTAACAGTCAAGGTGACGATCAGCCCAGTTTTCTGTGATAATATATTGTTTCATGGTATCATACTTAAGTGCTGAAGAGTCAGAGTTTGATCTTTTCCTTTTTTTAATGTTAAAGCATTATGGAAACCCGTTCCAATACACTGTATTTTACTAGCATCGATACTAGTGTCATTCAAGTAAGAAAGAGATGGAAAAATTCTGTTTGTATCATTTCTGTCTTTATCACTGCCTCTTTCATATTTCTTTCTGTAAAAATAGAGCAATTCTGCAGATAAAAAGGGATGAAAATCAATTTGCTTCTGCAGGTCTTGTAATTTTTGCATGACTATCAGAAGAACACTATACTGATTACTACACCGATTACTGTCTTATATCTGTTTTTAGCACTTGGCGAACTGCAAGGGAAGCTTAGGTCCAGAAGAAGTCAGAAGGTCTGCCCTGACGTTGGTAATGGGTGCCTTGGAAAGCAATAATGCACTGCTAAGATGTGCTGCTGCAGAATGCTTGGCCAGATTGGCACAGGTGGTTTCTGACAGTGCCTTCACCGCTGGGTTAGCACAAGTCAGTTTTGACAAGTAAGTTCAAAAACGGTGTGATGAGTTACTGGTTGAGTTTATGAAAATGTTTGGCAAATATACCTGGCCCCTGCTATTACAATGATTTTTAAAAGCTGGTTTCCTCCATGACTTTGTTGTCACTTCAGAAATTTACAGGAAGAAACTTGAGTTCTTACATATATTAATTAATTTTGCTGATCTTCAAGAAGATTGTCCAAGTACACAGGGAGGTTGGACTAGATGATCTTTTGAGGTCCCTTCCAACCCCGAACATTCTGTCATTCTGTGAAGCATGTAGACTTTCAAATAAGTTAAATTGGCAGATAGCTAGCAACCTCATTTAAGTATATCTAATATATTTGTGGTGCTTCCTACAGATAATAGATGATAAGTGAACTTAGACTTTTGGCCATATAAAAGTGTCTAATAAAGTATTTTGTTAATTATACACTAGAAATTCTATTTGTAGATGTATTTATTACATAATATCGAGTTTGGTGATAACACTAACAGCTTGCTTTCCTTGTAATTAATAGGCTAAAATCTGCTAGGGATGTGGTGTCAAGAACAGGTCATTCTTTGGCTCTGGGATGTCTCTATCGGTACCTAGGAGGAATAGGTTCTACTCAGCACCTGAACGCATGTGTTGGAATCCTTTATACTTTATCTCAGGACAGTACTTCTCCTGATGTACAGGTACTTGCCACTATCTAAAAATGTAATGTTACTGATGAACTGATTTATATTCTGGAGCGTATCACTTTTTTCTTATAGGAGTAACACTTCACAGCCTCTTAGGCATACCTCACGGGTGATGGCTGGCACAGCAAAGGCCGTGAAAACCATAGGCCCTGCTTGAAACCCTTGAAATGAACTATGATGAGATATGGAAACTTCTTATTTAATGATCAGTGAGGCTGATAAGGCTAATATATGCTGGCTTCAAAAACAATATCTGATGTTTTAGGCATTGATTAATTTCCCATGCACCTGTATCTTGACCTTGACTAGACAGTACCTGGATTGTTTGGCTCATGTCAGGTTTTTTCTGCTGTGGGGTTTATGTTACAGCATTTTGTGTTGAAGGGTTACGCAGTAACTAACAGAGATTTGTAGCCTGAATGCTGTCAAACGTGGTCAGTATACTTCCTTAACCAAGACAAGATGTTTTGAAGACTAATTCAAATTATTTCTCTGTGGCTAAAACTGTTATCTATCAGAATAGCTTTAAGAGACTTTGAGTGTATTCCATGTTGAAATCTCAGTTAAAGAATTTTATGAAGTTTTCTGTACAATATCTTTACACAGAACTGTATATTGACATGAGACAGGTGTGGCTATTGATGCAAAGTAACTGAGACTAAAACAATATGTTGTTTTAGCAAGTCTGTATTTTTTTCATAATTCTCTTCTTGCACATGGAAATGTAAGAAATTTGACAAAGAATAGAATATATTTGAGGACCAATAATCACTATTAATTTACAATTGTAATTTTTTTTTTACTCAATGATGACAAATTTAAAATGATTCTTTCATTGTGAAACATACAGTTCCTTGTAAAATATTCAAAATGGATTATTAAGTATCAGATTCTTAAAATTTATTTATATAACCCCTCCATTTGTCCCTTTGGAACCCAAAAGTGCAACTTTTATCACACTTAGTTATTGAATTTCACTTGAACTATCAAATTTTAAAAGGATCTTCCATTTATTCTGTCATGCAGATATTATATGACTGCTTCTCTTGTTTTACAGGCGTGGGCACTACACTCGTTGTCACTGATAGTAGATTTAGCTGGCCCCTTGTATCATGTGCATGTGGAACCCACCTTATCTCTTGTTCTCATGTTGTTGCTGACTGTGCCTCCTGCTTACGCTGAAGTTCACCAAAGCCTTGGTCGCTGTTTAAATGCACTTATCACCACCCTGGGCCCCGAGTTGCAAGGTATGTGACAGACAATAGTGTTGGCTTTGTTTGGTTTAGCAACAGAATTGCTAAACATTGTTTGAATGTGTAATTCAGATTTTATCAACAAGGAAGCACATCTTAAGTTTTTTCCTCTGTAAGACAGCAAACGGCTGATGTGACTGCTAGTTTTCCAGAAAGTGTCTCTTTTCCTTTGTTTGAACTCCAAGCCATGCCTTGCTCTGAAAATCCTTACATTTAATATGTAAACAGAAGACATTAATATTTCAAGAGTTAGGAATCTATGCATTACGTATGATGCAGACCTTTACAATTTGCATCTAAATCAACTTCTAAATAGCTGGACACTGGCATTCCGGAGAGCACCGTGACTGTTACTCACTGATACCAGAGTATAACATAGATGTAGAAAGTATCCTTCAAGAGGATGAGAGTTATGGGTTGTTTTGGAAGAAGATGAGTTATGTTTTGGAAAAAAAAGTTGTGGATGTTTTAAAAAAAAAAACACCCCACCTGTTTTTTTTCATCTGAATATAGGCAGCAGTACGACAGTTTCAGCCTTAAGAACTTCCTGCCTGCTGGGCTGTGCAGTGATGCAGGATAATCCCGACTGCCTTGTGCAGGCTCAGGCCATCTCTTGCCTTCAGCAGCTTCACATGTTTGCTCCCCGCCACGTCAACTTGTCCAACCTTGTGAGCTGCCTGTGTGTGAGTATACCTTTACGACTCTATATCCTTGTATTTCAAAACATTTTTTTCAGAAACACTTAAAAAATGCAGGTGCTACTTTAACTGGAGAAGCTGAGCATTGTGTAGGGCTAAGGTGTTTCATATCCTCCTACAGGCAAGTATTCTCTGTTTTTTCAGTTGTTTTCACAATTTTTGCTTCCACTTTACAAGATGAGGACAGTTTGTAGAAATTTTTGCCTTCTGAACTGCTTACAAGTGCACTCTGTGGCTCTCATCCTGTCAGACAAGTGGCCTTAATATAACATCCGTTACAGATTTGTGCGGGATTTTTACTGTCTATTTTACGCTGGTCAGGTTTTTTCCTTTGCTGCTTTTTATGCCTGAGTTAAAAGCTTGATTAAAAAAAAAAAGTTGTGCATATTAATTTCTGAGAATTGTTTTGTTTGAGTTTATTTTTCATGATGGTGAAAAACTGTAGATTTCTCTATTTTGTAATTTCTGTAGCATTAATACTTCAGTGTCCTGACTTCTTGACAGTCAGGATAAAAATTTATGATGGTTACATTATAGTTAAACAGGATCTTTGTTAAAAATCAACAAAACTCCTTCAGCCCAATTTGACAAAGAAGTTGGGGGGTTTTGTTTATTTGCTGGGAGGGATTGTGTGGGATTTTTTTTTTTCCCCAGAAAGTCTGTCTTTCTTTGAATAGCTGCTGTTCTGAAGCACTTAGTTCTATGAAGAAAACAAAAATAATTTTCTAGTAGTTATTACCCATGATGGGGTTTTAGGGGCTGGTTATTTTTTTGTTGTTGTTGGTTTTTTTCTCTTTTTTTTTTAAATAAAAAAGAGAAAAAGAGAGAAACAAAAAAACACAGACAATAATGTATGGTGGGTGGTTGTTAGTCTTTTGTCTGTCTTAACACAATTCTTATTGATGTCTTCCCCTGGATAGTGCTTTTATATTGGTAGTAACCATATATAGATTTTTGTATAAAGTTCAGGTTCCTCCCATATATCTTGATTCAGTTTGAGTAGAAATATGATTGTGGGAGCCAGGAAACATTGAAGGAGAAACTCTTTAAGCCCTACAGTTCTTAGTCATGGACACACTAGTCGCGGAAGAACTGGAACTCAGCTGAAGTGTTCTTTCTTTTTGTACATACACCACTATGATTTGCTCTTCTCGGGGTAAAACACGTTTCTCTTACATCGATGAAATCACACCAAATCATCTAATTCACTTTCTTGCTCAGGGGATGTATTAACATTTGGGATTGCATGTAAGTCCCTGTAGAATCTGCTTCCATGCACAGTACGTTCTCTCCAACTGATAGCAAGTTTGTGCTAATGAAGACGATCTCATGATAAAGTTGTCTCGTCTCTATGATGTTGCTGATTTTTATTGTTTTTACAAATTGTCTCAAAGTACTTTGTACAGTACTTCCTGAAATGATGAACTGACTCAGTTAGGAAGCAGCATGGTTCATGGCTCAAGTGTGTGTGTGTGTGTGTTCACCTGTTCCCCTCTTCCCCCGAAAGGACTGTGAGTTTCGTGGAGGAGGCTTCCACTGAAGTCAGTGGCCTTACACAGATGAGCTTTTCTTATTCTCACGGAGTTGTACAGAACCACAGCCAATTTTGCTGATACTGGCGGTTCAGTAAACATCAATGTGTCTCTCAAGAGTGTCATAAACAAAGAAGGTCTGAGTGTGTGCTTTGCAGGTCTGTGAGAAGATCATTGCACAAGCAGACTTGTGCATTTGTAGAACTCACCATCTCTTTTCTACCCACTGAATCACCATCTCGCTAGGGAAGCAGAATAAACTTTTGGACTGGACCTGAAATCTGCGCTTGACTTTATTGTTGGCTTGCAAAGTGACCCTCAGCGAGTCATTCTTCATGAGTTTAAATTTTGGCAGGTGGAGAAGAAGGTGTGACTGTCCTCCTTTGCAATGCATTTTGAAGTCTTATGGGGAAGTGGAGTATAAAAGCTGGACACTAGATAATGTGGGTATTTGCCACTGTGTTCTTTATTTAATGCAAAAACCCAGGAGAGGCAAAGAATCTCTTCTCAGATAAGTCATCCTTTCCCCTTCTGTCCATAGAAACACAAATTCTTGCTCATAAAATCTCGAAAACAGATGTGCAAAGAATTTTATTATTTTTTTTAGTAACATTTGAACAACTCCCTTCTCCACCCTTTTTTCCTCAGATTTACGAAAAATTTCTATGTCTTCAAACTTGCCTTTTTAAAACTTTTAGAATAGACATTCTCGTTTTGTTTTTTCTCACCCATTTTTTCTCACTCCGGGAATGTAAATTTTTCTCACTCATGTTAGGCATGTCAACACAATTGCTGTGAGCAGCTGCGAGCTGCCACCTCCACCTGTCTTCCCAGCCTGTAGAGGACGAGATGGTTCAGATCCCCAGAGGATTTAAGCTGTTGTGACTATGCTACCACTGATGGAACATGACCCAGGCAGTGGGTACACTGCTACACTGGCTTTGTTTTTTGTTTGTTTGGGGGGTTTTCAGCTGTATAGGTGTGCCTGTCACTATCCAGCCTCCCTTCTTCAGCTTCTCCAAGTGCTCCTCCTTTTCTTCATGGGGCTTTGTATGCAGCAGCAATGCTCATCCTGCCAGTTACAGTCTTGGCTTGCACAGAATAGAAGTCATATGCTTTTAATCATGTCTAACATTAGCTCCAAAGCTAACTGAGGTGAGCACAGGCTTCTAAAGAGCTTATCTGTGTAAGGTTATGATGTGGTGAACACCAGTTTTCAGCTGTAGGACATTAAAGATATTTTGAAATGCAATAAATATGCAATGTCAATAATTATACCATGCTGTTCTCTTGGTCCTGCTTAGGTATTATTTTAGGGGAAGCTGGCTTGCAATTTAAGTGTGTTGAACATTAAACATGAGATAAATAAACTACGAAAATTACAAGTTTGTCATGTTTTAGATAAATTTTAATATATGCTGAATTTATGTGTAATGGTCTCTATGTCTGGTTGGTATCACTGTGATATCTATATTTTGGTTTTGTCATGACTGGTTTGTCATTTGTTTTTGTGCAGGAAATCTTGTTGGATAATTCTGTGTTGGTAGGTCCCTGTGCCTTGTTAATCCTAAACTTTTGCAGTTTGCAGTGGATTTTGTTATTTCATCTTTTATCTTTTCCGTTTAACCATTTTAATGTAATTTCTTTTAGCATGTCAAGTGACATTTGATTGCCATCCTAACCAGACCCTTCCTAACTTTCTGCAGATGGCAGACATACATTTCATTTATGTGAGGCATAATTTTGCTTTTAACATTGTAAGCACAGAAAAGAAACCGTTTTTTTCATTTACATTTGTATGTGATGCTTGCATTTTGTGTCTGTTATTTGGTCCTGTCCCCTGCTTAGAATGTGGGAGAATGAGAGATAAAAGTTGCACATCTTGCATTATTCAATAGCCTGAAGTGGATCCTCTGTTTTTTCCCTATTAAAAATGAGCACGGAATTTATGCATGTCCAACTTGAAGTAGAATGTGGAGCCTGCTTGATAAATGTTGCATTAAAACTTGGTGGATTTTTTTTTTTAAGGTTTCGATTCATCTTGCAGACATACTTATTGAGGTTTCTTTTCTAAGTACGGAGAGAGCGTATCTTTGTGTGTGCTGCATATGTAAATCTGAGCATTGTAGAATCATGTGCGAGCACAGACATTCAGAAGACAACGCTTAGTTTCATTAATGTAACCAAGCTGAAATTCTGTATAACTCTTTTTGTCCTTAAGTTGTTCTTTCTAACTGTATTTTAACTAATATATATTAGTCATTTTGACTAACGTATATTGTCGTGTTGTTGACGAGTGAGGAGCATGACCTTGCTGCAAGGTTTCCCTGCAGCAAACACTCAGCTCTGTCTATTTTAAGGATGGTGACAGCTAAGGGTGCACAATTGCTTAGGTGTAGAGAATACATGTTATTGATGATAACCTAAGCTTAATTTAAAAGAAGCTGCATAAATATTGGTGTAGCTAGCTTGCCTGGCCACACAGTTGCTCAGTGTATCTTTGGGATGCCCTTCAGAATGTTCTTAAAATTGAAAACAAGCAAATAAAAATCAGAAAGATCCACTCTAACAACAAAAACCTCGAGGCTATGTCTTGGGGATTTTAAGTGTTTTTCCTTGTTCCTGTTATAATTAATCTGTTATCATGTATTTTTCAGAATAAAAAACAAACACTGCCTTGGTGATGTTAAAATACGGTGATGCTATAAGCTTGTTTGCTAGAAGGTGCTCAGGAGAGCTGACTTCTCTGTGTGCTACGTTCTCTAGTAACTCTCACTCTTCCTCTCACCTTCTCTAAAACATAATTTAATGTGATCTGAGTATATAATATTTTTTGTGATAAAATTGTGGCAGTGTTGTCTTTGCTCTTAAATTTCTTTCATGCATGGAGTTCAGATTTACTAGAGCCTGACTGACTGTCTCGCCCTTGGTTACATTTGCATTTCTCTAGTTACATCCAAGTGTGATTTGAGTAATTTTCTCCTGCACTGAGTTTTCAAGCCCATTATATATACCTGCTAGTCAAAAAATAGAGTTAATTGTTCTTTGGGACCGTAATTGAAGTTGATTGGGTCTTTGTACTGATATGGGTTGGAGTTGGATCCAGCCCCAAACCAGTTTTATAATTTGGAGAGAAAGTGTTAGAAGTACTGAGACGTTAAATACAGGAATTGCAAACCCTTTCATTTGGAGTTTAAAAAAAAGCTCAGGAAAACTAACATCAATTACATGCTTACTGACCTCACAGATTTGTCATAACTGTGGTTATTTAGAAAATACGGGCCTCACTGAGGTGTTGCTAGAAAGGTTTGTTAGCCATCTCACTGTTTTTCCTTGCATGTTTCAGGTGAATCTGTGTAGTTCCTACTTACTACTGAGACGTGCGGTGGTAGCGTGCTTACGTCAGCTTGTGCAAAGAGAAGCTGCTGAGGTATCAGAATACGCTGTTGCATTAGTTAAAGAAAGCAAAGAAGATTTTACTGCAGGTGACGTATTGAAATTCTGAGATCAAAGAGCTTAACGCAATGATAGTAAATTTTAAATACTGCTCTGGGTATGAAAACTTTGCTACATCCTTGAAATCTTTAGCTCAGAAAGGTTTTCTGCATTTCTTTGTGGTAAAATGAAGATACTATGGCTTTTCATATACTGTAGATAGTAAGGATCACTAAATAAAAAAATGCAAGTGACGTTCCAGAGAAGCCTGAGCCTGTCTGGCCAGTAGCTGTCAGCATATCTACTTCGTAGCCCTACATTTTACATGCATATTCATAGTTTTATTTTCCCGCGTTTTCTGATTTTAAACTGAAAATCCGTCATTGAGGGAAGGTGTACATAACCTGTTGGAGAAAGTTTCTGCTCACCTTCTTGGAGAACTAGTTAAGTAATGATCAGCTGGAATTTAAACTTCCTAAAGGTTTGTGCTTTTTGCTAGAAGGTCTGAGAATGGTCACTAATTCATCCTCATGTGTTTCTGCTGACCTTCTTGGAGAACTAGTTAAGTAAGATCAGCTGGGATTTAAACTTCCTAAAGGTTTGTGCTTTTTGCTAGAAGGTCTGAGAATGGTCACTAATTCATCCTCATGTGCCTTCCTATGAGAGAATGGTGATAATAAATGATTTCACTTCGGATTTCAATTCAATCTTACATGAAACTTTTCAGAAAAGATAAGATATAGCCATTTTGTAGATCTGTTGATTTTAAAAATTAGTAATATTGGGCAAATAGAAGTCATATTCATTTAACAAATTATTTCCATGTGACGGGTTTTGAGCTTTTTTTGCGGAATAATTGTAACTTCCCTTTCAAGTTAAAACATTGCTTTAGAATTACCTTATGAGGCAGTGTGAAGAATCAGATAGCCAAAGATAATCTTTTTCAGGAGCTCAGATGCTGTGGTGATGTTAATGCTGGGAAATTCAGAGTAGATTTTTTTTTATTTTTTTTTTAATCCCTCCCGGGTAACTTTCCTCTTTTTGTTAGTATGTGTCTCTAAAAGTTCAAAGTTTGTTTTGTACTGAGATGAATTAGATATGGTATTAAATCAATTAATACTGTTCTTGCAGGGCTAGATACTTGTTCACAAGATACTCTCTGCTCAGCCTTTGGTGGGGTTTCTGTGGTCAGTACTGCAGTTTTGTCATGTACAGCATGCAGCTCACAGGATTTGTTCTTAGCAGATGTTAACATCAGAGAAATAGGCCTGGAGGGAGCATTGCTGAGCTTGCTGGACAAAGAACTGGATCAAAGATTGTGCCAAGATATCAAAGAGACTCTGACTCATATGCTTACTTCAATGGCAGTGGCAAAGCTCTCTTTTTGGCTGAAGCTTTGTAAAGATGTTCTTGCTGCCTCAGCTGGTAAGTCCACACACACTGTAGTTGGGAATGCAATGAAAATGGGCTGTGGAGCAGTACAATGAAACTCCTGAGCAGATAAAATTAATTGCTGAATGTTGGGTGGAGAGAGGGAGAATTCCTTTACTGTGCTGGAAATGGAAAAGTGGATTTAAATTTTTTGATTACTTTAAGACACCAAGATTGAAGGGAGTCATGGTGAGTTGGAGGCTAGAGATAGGCTTTGGAGAGATTTCTTTATGAGGCCTTCTGTACTTCTCAGTCACGGTAAAAAGGGTATTATTACATTTCTTCTTTTTTCTTCCCCCTGTGTCCTAAATCTAAATGCAGATTTCAATACAGTAGCTTCAGTAGATACCACCCAAGAAGAGGAAACTGCCAAAGTCGATGATGCATCTATATTAACGTCTGACATGGATGAGAGGTTCCATCCTTTCAGTAATCCACGATGGTCCACCAGAGTTTTTGCTGCAGAGTGTGTCTGTAAAATTGTAAGTCAGTGTGAAAATGCTGGCAGAGCCCATTTTGACATCACTTTGGCTCAGGAGAGAAAACAACGTGATTCAAGAGGTATGTGTTAAGCACTGAAAGAATTTCACAGAATGCAAAGTATGCTTAAAATAAATGTTAACTGTTTGCACGTTCATAGAATTCATCATAAATTTATTTTGTAATCACTGAAACCTTTAATTACTCTGATTAGAAGCCTATATTTATTAACGTGTAGAGCAATTTTTATTTGCCAAAATATTGGCATATCACTGCAGCTTTTACACTCACTTTCCTGGTTATAGTACTGTGGCATATGTGTAGGAAGCCGTTGTTTCTGCGTAAGCACTGGGCATCAGAAGTGACAGGTGGCACCAGTTTACAACATGACGGTGTGATATCTCCACCTTTTTTCTTTCCATAATCTGCATATTACCAACAGAAACACATACCGTTTTCAGTACCTCTCTACGTTTATCTGGAGGTGTTTTCCTCAAAATATTTTTAGGAAATCTCCCTCGTACATAAAGATAGTTATGCTTATTTTTTCCCCCCCCATTCAAATGGAAAGGAGCCTAGATGAGCTAAGATATGATGTCCAAGTAAGATTATTGTATGTGTAAGCTCGATATGTGGTAAGGTAAAACATAAAATACGCATTTTGGAAATGTTAGGAGCAGTAAAATATATTATGTCTAAATTTAGATTTGATAAAACTATTTTCTTGTTTTATTTCTGGATTTTGTTGTGTTTTTCAGATGACTTTTTGGTATTGCATTTAGCTGACTTGATCCGTATGGCTTTTATGGCCGCCACAGATCACAGTGATCAACTTCGTCTTTCTGGGCTTCAAACATTGCTAATAGTTGTTCGGAAGTTTGCAGATGTTCCAGAACCAGAGTTTCCAGGTCACGTAATTCTGGAGCAGTATCAAGCCAATGTAAGCACTGTCGCTGATAACTTTAAAAAGTTTAGAGTCACAGTTAATCTCTAAAAGAAATTTGCTTTTTGCAGTGTTAGTGCTAAGAGTTGGGTTTCTGTTAGTTTGTTGCTGAAACTTAAAAATTTATTCAAACTTAACTTTCTTAGAAAGCGTATTTTCAGTAGGCATGTTTTAACCCTGAAGTTTTTCAAGTTTCAGCATTTTTCCCTCTTCCCTGTTTAAATACAGCGAAAAGAAAATAGAACATTGGGATTTTTTTTTTTTAAAGCGTCAGCTTTAAAGTTTGAAAGTATTGCAAGAAATGTTAGGAACAACTATCACTCGAAACTCTGCATAGATATAAGTAGCTTTTGCACACCAGAGATCATGCTGGCTTGGTCAAATAAATAAGCTGGAGACTTACAGAGATGTCCCAATCATTTGGCATTCCAGAGTGCACTTGTGTTAAGTATGACAGGCCTGTTAAGCCTCATCTGGCTCCCATTCTTCAATTTCTAGCAGACATTGAATAAATCAGATCACTCTCTCTCTTAGAAATGGAGATACCGTGGCACTGACGACATCCTAACGCACTTTGATCTTGCTTTTGCATTAGAATTCTGTTCTACTGCCACTTCTTTGTGGGAAAGAAACGCCTTCATCTAGTCTGGAACTGCCAAGGGAAAAAAATACACCATCTGTCCTTGCTGTCCAAAACCATCAGGAGGTCACAAGTAGAGCTAATAATTATCCTTTTAACTTTCACTACCCTGGAGATTTTTCTACTAATACGATGCATAGATCTTCTCATCAACTGTTTCATGGAAGTTGAAGGATGTGGAGCAGTTAAAAATTTAGTATTTTTGTTGTCAGTATTTTTTCCATAACAGTTACAAGAAATAGGTGGACATAGTTGTTTGTGGGGGTTTTTGGGTTTTGTTTTTGTTGGACTTAAGTAGTTGTTTCCTGAGATCTTCTTCAGAAGTGCCTTAAATGGTGTCTGAGCTTTAGAGGGTCTTAAGAAGCTGTCATTAATTGTCATTAAAACCAACTCCTTTTCACTTATTTTTCCCAAACTTGCATTTGCTGTCCTTGTCCTTCACTTAGTACTTTCATTGCAAAGAGCGTCAGACTTAAGTCTGAGTTACTAGATACCAGCTAAAGCAGCAAGGGAAAATTTCATTAGCCTTTAGTGCAGCAGCCTTCAACAGCGAGAGTAGGTAAAACCTCTGCAACACGGGAAGTGGATGTTTGTGGGTTCTTTATTAGGCAAACAGGGTTTGTGCTGTCCCTTTCTTTCACTTTGAAAAGCTGACCCAACTTCAGTTCTTTATTTCCTTAAGTCTGTATTCTGAGTAAGGAAATGTCACTCAGTAGCGGTCTTGCAAGTCTTTCATGGTTTGAAACATTGTTTTTTTCTTTTGAGGCCTACTCATCAAGTCAAGAGTTCAGGAAGGAAGGAGCTTCTATTTCAGTTTTAGACTGCAAAAAATAGAATCAACTTTGAAGAGGCCTCTCAAAGAGAGCCACGTCTTCAGCATAAGCAGAACAAAACAATAAAAGTATGAGTGCAACTGTCTCCGTGCCCTTTAACCTCATTGAAAGAGTCTTGAAAAATGAAACTGTACTTTGTAATGGAAAACTGCAACAAAGTCTGCTTATGAAAAGTAATCATTTAATTAATTGTTCACTGTGTATTAAATGTTGTATAACTTCTGTTTAGGTTGGAGCAGCACTTAGGCCTGCCTTTGCTCCCGAAACTCCTCCTGATGTCACAGCAAAAGCATGTCAGGCAAGTGTTGAAAGTCAGAAGTCTTGGGTAATAGACCCTCTGAAATGTTCCTTTTGCTTGATATGCCACACAAGAAAAAGAAAATAAATCAAACCCTTACTGCACACAAAATAATGCGACTCACGTTGCCTCTGTACGACTCAAAGATTTTAGGCACTTAAAATCTTCCAAGAAACTTTGCAGCAGGCTGTTATTTCTGACATCCCTCTAATGATTTTGGCTTTCATTACTTACATATACTAAACTGTAACATCATTTAACGTTGATTAGTATCTGAGAGTAACTGTATCTCGGTAGAAATCAGATTGTATTTTCATAGTTTTACAGATGGAAAAAAGAGTGTAGCCAGTGGTGTTTAGCTCTTGTTTCTCATTTTTTCTGTTTTACACCACCAGGTATGCAGTGCCTGGATAGCAAGTGGTGTAGTAAGTGATCTTAATGACCTTCGAAGAGTTCACCAGTTGCTTGTATCCTCCTTGGTCAAAGTGCAGGCTGGGAAAGAAGCACAAAGTCAACAATATAATGAAAGCACCTCAACTATGGAGATACTGGCTGTGCTTAAGGCTTGGGCAGAGGTTAGTGTAACAGCTCTGTAATGATAGTCTTGATATTTGATAGGTGAGTTAGAACCTTTCAGACAACGTTTTCATGAATTTCTTATGTGAGTCATTAAATAGAAGTTGCCTGTCCTTCACCTTGCTTTGATACAGTACATGACCTTTGTAAACGTAACAAAAGCACTTCCAGTTAAACTGTGTTATACTATACATTAAGAAATATGTCTTAATGATTAAGAAAACATTCTAATATTTCAATATTAATTTTAAATGGGTGTGGTATAAATGGCTACGGTGATGGTCCACTGAACCTAACATTTTAAATAGGTGTCATTTTTCTCATTGTCTATCAGCATTTAATTTCTTACAGGTAGTTCTTTTAAGTTAGATGTCAGTTTGGTGCTGCATTGGCTAACTGCCTTAAAGTGAGCTCCCGTGAATGCCTGTTTTAATACATGTAAATGCAGGGTTAGATATTTAAAAATCAAAAATGTGAACAATGTGTAATCTCTAGAAGATGTCTCTTAGAAAGCTCTGATAATGACCTTGGATGCTCGCGGTTGATAACCAGCTACATATGAGCATGTTACATAGTTAATATGATAATCCTGCCTATAATCAGGGAGCTATTTTGAAGAGATAGCTTTTATGTGAACATTTGTAGAAAAACTTACCAATGTCTGGTGTCCACACTTGAGAAAGGATATTGGCAAAATTGGAAAGCCATTGGAGAAGAGCTCGCAAGTGGAAATAAAGATCTTGAAAACGTACTTACACCAAGAGATTTTTGATTAAATAGACTGATGTACTTTTCAGGAAAAGATAAGGTTCTGTGGTCAATATTAAATTATTATACAGAGAAAAGATTTTTAATGGAATATAACAATAACCTATCACTGCTTAACTTGGAGCAGGAACAGATTCTGGGAGACCTCATACATGTTCAACACAGAGTCACAGTAATGATCACGGTAGTTTTCCAAGTGCTAATATATGTAAATCTCTCTCCAAATATATCAACAGGTCTACATAGTTGCAGTTGAAAAGCAGAAAAATCCAAGTGATGCGCATAATCACTGTTTAAAACTTGCAAACTCTGCGGAAGAAAGCTACGGAGATGTAATATCTTCAGCCAGTGGACTTCTAGACTTAGTACAGGCAGATATTGGAACCCTAAGCAAGCTCTGGCTTGCTGCACTTCAGGATTTTGCTCTCTTAACTTTGCCTTCAGAATATGCATCACAACTACCTGCTGAGGGTAAGAAGACAAATCAGTTGTATTTTTGTCGGTCACTTTTGAGTACACATCAGTAATGTCCCAGCTGACTTGTGTCCAGATTGTAGTAAGATTAAATAGCATAGGAAATACACATACTTGTGTATCTTTCTGAAGATAAAACTGCTTTTGAGAACAGAGGTTTAACTAATGTGCAAAGTAGTTTGTTTAGTATTCTTGTTTGTTACATAATTTTATGGTTGAAAAAAGAAAAAGATATTTATGTTGAATTCTATCCAAATCAATCTAAATTATGTTAACCTGAATTTTAATATTAAACTTTTTAAAAAAAGGCATACAAAAAATACGATAAATATAATTTCACTGAAAAGAATCCCTTTTTTGTAAGAATGCAAAAATATGGTCGGTGAAAATAAATGACATACTTAAAACTGTAACTTCTCTTCTTGTAGGTGGTACATTTTATACAGCAGAGACAATTGAAAATGCCAGACCTCATTACTACAACTCCTGGGCACTGATACTATATGCTACAGCATTATGGCTTACCAGCACGGGTTTCATTGTGGTTGATCCAGATGAAGGAGTTACTAATCTCTCTAGACCTGTCACCCCAACTACAATGTGTCAAGATTCTTCTACTAGGCCCTTGGTGAAATCTCCGGAGGATGTGAATACTGACCGATTTCATCTTATCTTGGGTTAGTGAGCACAGAATCTGCCTAGATGCTGTAACCCAAAATGTCATTTTTAATAGATAAAACTGTTAGCAAGCAAATATTTAATTGTTCACACTTAACTGAATCACTGAATATTGACTCTCTTAGAAAAATACACAGTCAGAAAAATTTTAAGTCCTAGTGAGAAAATTGTAGAGCATTTTCCCAAATGTTGCCATCATACATTTTGGAATTACAGCTGTACCAACTGGCATGAGAATATGGATCACAGTTTATATATATAATGTTTATCTCCAGTGTCATGTCATCTGAAGAATCCTGAAAGCTCAGGAAAAAAAATATTTTTTTTTATTTGCTATAGGATTTGCAAGCTTAGGCTTCATATAACTTGCTTATTGCTGGTGATCAAATTGTGGTAGCTGCAGTCTTTAGTATTTTTTGAAAAATGGGAAGATAAAGCCTCAGCCTTTGCATTTCCAAGCTATTATTACCTTCTCCATTATTTCCGTTGATTACATAAATCAGTGTGAATAGCAAATGTTGTGCTATATATACTCATAATGAGTCGTCTGCCTGTTCATTGGACCTAGAGTTCAGGGTTTTACTCAGGAATTGCTCTTTTTAATTTATTTTTTTTTGTTAATAGCCGTTTATAATTGTGTCTTGTGCTGTCTAGAAGCTGAAATACTTTCATTTTTTTGACGGAAATACAGTTCTTGCGCCAAGGTACTACCAGTAGGAGAGGAATTCACTTCATATAAAATGCAAATACTATTTCTATCTGTTCAACCTGCCATTAGGTTACTCAGTAATTGACAAAATTACTTCTTAAAATTCCAAGCACGTACGGGTTTTTTCTTTTGATGTTTACAGGAATTAGTGTGGAATTTCTCTGCTCTCCCCGATCAGATGCAGCAATGGAGAACATTATCGCCTGCTTACGTGCGCTACAGGCACTTTTTGATGTTCCATGGCCGAGATCTAAAATAGGTGGTGATCAGGTAATGTCTTAAAGATCAAAAGCCCTCCAGAATTAAGGCATAATTTCAGTTTGAACAGTAAATCTACTCTGTTATATATCCAGGAATCTTCAACACATAAGTAGTAGGCGAGTTATAAGCTTTACCAAGCTGTAGAGGGAGGAGAGGAAAAAGAGCACAACATGGAAGCTATGAGAAGACAGTGAAAGGCAGAGAACTTGAGAAGGAAAGGGTGATTAGATGAGTAGAATGAGAGACCCAGGTAAAAGAACTCCAGGAAAAAAAAGTTCTCTTGCTTTCAAAGGAGAGCAAGATTGATTCTGTTGTAAATATTGAAGATGATAAAAGGGAACTGGACAAAAGCAATGTTATTTTTTTTTAAAAAAAAAAAAAGCAAAACTAAAAAAACCCATATCACACTAATGACCCTAGTAAGAAGTAGTAACTTTAAAATTCCTTTTTTATTTTTTCCTTTAAATTAAGCTTGTATAAAGCTTAATCCTGTGTGCCCTGCAGTTGTCTAACATAGCAAAAGTGATAAAACCTGTGGACATGTCCAAGCGCTGCTGACTTTTTGGTGCCCTCTCTAAGGAAATCCATACACTGTAGGAGGGATACAATGTAGTATCCCCATATTCTAGAGTTAAAAAGCCATAAGATAAAGATTGCTTGTGTGGTTTTCTGTAGTTTTAAGTGCTTTATCTCTCTAAATTGTCATGTTTATTATTTTGTTGGGAGAATTGAGCAGGACTGCTGCTACTGGGAACTAGGAGCTAGATGCTGAAGAAAATGTCAGATCGTGTTGTTGTATCCTTAGTGAATTCCATAGCGAGATTAACAAGAGGAATACTGTTGTCTTTAGCAAGTTTCTAAAATTCCTGCATTAAAATGGGGATATATTAAGCATTTTTCTTTCTGTAGGAGTTGGGTGTGGAGCTGCTGAATGTTTTGCATCGACTGATACTGACCAGAGAATCACCTGATATTCAGCTTGCTGCCCTGGAAGTGGTTCGTCTGATTCTTTTTGCAGCTCAGGAACATGTGAAGGAGAAGCGGAGAAGTGCAGAAGGTACGGTGATGTACGAGATGCTGAATACATAGTATCAGGGTTAAAGCAATTCTTTCTTGGAAAACTTGGATTCTTTAAGGTGATTCTTAATGAAGGTGACTAATCTTGGTTTACTTAAGTCAGTGCAGGTGCCTGACAAGAAATTGGGCTGGTGTGATGTGTAGCACATGGTTTTGATGGTAACTAGAGGGTGTGAAGTGAGGAAGAAAGCTAGAGAAATTGCATTTGGGATACACCAAAAGAAAGACACTGGGAGAAGAATCAAAACACGTCAGGTGACGTCATGCTGGCATGGTGCCTAGGCATGTATGTCTAAATGTACTGTGCACACTTGCCTTTTGGCAATCAGTGCCTAGTTTGCTTATGCAGAAGGATGGATGTTGGCCAGTAGAACTTTGAATACATATACATGCACGTATACACGTATCGAGTTTATCAAATGATGAAGAAGTAAACTTTCTGGAAACAAGGTACAGACTGCAGATTTCTGCCATATTTCTTCTTTTTGTTTTAGTTGATGATGGTGCTGCAGAAAAGGAAACATTACCAGAATTTGGAGAAGGCAGAGACACAGGAGGACTGGTGCCTGGGAAGTCATTAGTCTTTGCAACGCTGGAGTTGTGCGTTTGTATTCTTGTCAGACAGCTTCCCCAGCTCAACCCGAAATTAACTTATAGCCCCGCAGTTCAATCTCGAAAACATCTGCTATTGTCAGAAGATGGAAGTAGACTGGTAGCAGCAGCATTAGTTATTCTCTCTGATGTTCCTGCAATCTGCTCTCCTGAAGGTATGCTCTTTCATCACCAGATAAGATTAATGAAGGAATATTGGGCTCTTTTGAGCCCCCTTGTTATTACCTAATTTTCTCAGCTGGATAAATCTGGCAGCAAGTTTTCTTGATTTGCTTGTGACAATTTCCTGTTCTAATTATTTTTTGACTGTCAGATTACAAAACAAGTTACAAAACTGAAGCAATTAAAGGAGTAGGTTTTCTTTTCCTCCCACGTGTAGCAGTGCAATTAATAGATTCATTTTGTACAGGGAAGTATACGATAGCTACATGATTATATTCTACTCAAATTGTATATTCTGGAATTTATGATGCAGACATAAATTAAATTTAAAAGGGAAATATATCATGTTACCTTTCACTAGAAGCTGTCATTGGTACATTAAGAAACCACTGTAAGGAGTTACAGTTGATTTCTCAGATTAGTTGATTTTTATGTATGATTCATTTTGTATTCACTCTGAACTTCAAGATGGTTTCCCCCCACCCCCAAATATCATATTCTTATGTATCATCTCTCAGTACTGTTACAGCCACACCTATAAACCATTTCTTCCCTGTTCCTCTGTTCCCACCTTAGTTATTTGTGCTACATCTTAAGCAAACTTTTACCAGCTGTGGAAATCTCTTTTTTTTTTCTTAGTTTGTGTTCTGTTACGGAGTTCTTCTTCAGAGGATAGCATACTCCAAATGGAATAGTAGGCAGTTCTTGCTGTCATTGTAGGGTGATGACATGACTTCTCTTTTCCATCTGCAGCTCATTATTTATCAGCTCAAAGCAACAAGAAACAACCAGCATCACTTAGATCTGAGGGCACTTATCTTGTATGAATAATCTGTGATTTTTCTTTCCTCCCTGTAGTTCGTTTTGTCTTTAGCTGTTGAAATTATTCCCCAGACTAACAGCTTGCAGGATCAGACCAGATGGGATGTTTACATTAAAAAACTTAAGCATCTAAGTCAGGTGACTAAAACAAGAAGCTTAAACTTGGCTTACATAGTCATAGAATGATAGAATGTTGGGGGTTGGAAGGGACCTCTAGAGATCATCTAGTCCAACCCCCTGCCAGAGCAGGGTCACCCAGGGCAGCCACACAGGAACGTGTCCAGGTGGGTTTTGAAAGTCTCCAGAGAAGGAGACTCCACACCTTCACCGGGCAGCCTGTGCCAGTGCTCTGTCACCCTCACAGTAAAGAAGTTTCTCCTCATGTTGAGCTGGAACTTCCTATGTTCTAACTTAAACCCATCATTTCTTGTTCTATTGCTGGGCACCACTGAGAAGAGATTGTCCCCTTCCCCTTGACCCCCACCCCTCACATATTTATGTACATTAATAAGATGCCCTCTCAGCCATCTCCTTTCAGGGCTAAACAGCCCCAGTTCTCTCAGTCTCTCTCCGTTGGAGAGATGTTCAAGTCCCTTAATCATCCTCGTAGCTCTCCCTTGGACTCTCTCCAGTAGGTCCCTGTCTCTCTTGACTCGGGGAGCCCAAATCAGTTGAATAGGGAAGATTTCAAGGAGGGAATTCTTATAACGAAAGAGAAGAGAATTTCTATGTGAAACTGCATCATTTTTTCCCCTTAAATAGGTAACTAAAGTTAGGGTTCAGGGCTACCGTGTTTCTTACTTCAGGCACCTGTAATGATATGTAGGCATAATCAAGTTTTCAAATACATGATGCTCATGAACTTCATTTCCTACTGAAGTCCAAGAGTGAATTTTCAGAGACTTGGCTGTTTTAAAAATAGAAGGTAGATGTCCTCAGGTTCAGAAGATACTTATGCATGTGGCAGAGACCTTCGTTAATCAACAGGTCTGTTACAAACATGGGTATATTAAAATTTTAAAAACTCAAGCACTTTGCTGATTAGAGAAGGCCATAGGCATCTTAAGCCATATGCTTAACTGTGCTTTGCTGAATAAGAACTTCAGGTAGGAGCAACACGTAAGTATCCAGGTTTCTAGATTGTCTCCAGTATGTGCAGAATTCTGTATTGCTATTAGATTCAAAGACAGAAGAATATGCAAAACTGCTGTGCCAAGTTGTTCCTGTGATTTTTTAATATTTTTTAATAGGTTCTTATTCTGGCAGATCAGCTCTCAGATTCTCAGGGGTAGATGCGGATACGTAGGACAATCTGCTTCTCTCCTTAGGTCTCCCTCTTTTCCAAAATATTTGTTAGAGTTTTTTATTTTAAATCTAGGATTTTTTGTTAGGCATTTGTAGTCAGAGATCCTCTTCTTATTACTCTCACTAAATTCTTGACTTCAGTGATTTCTTGGAACAATGATATCCTTGGCTAACTACACACCAAGTGGGAGAAGTATTTCCTCTTCCCAGTTTTGAAATTACACCATTAATTTCCTTCACTGTATTCACTGTGAAATACGCTTAGATGCTCTATTCACTACTTTGTATCCTTACATAGCTTCTCTTATTCTGCTACTGAGTGATTCTGATCTTTCTCTTCATGCTTTTCTCTGAACACAACATAATTCCACACTTCATATAATCATCAAGGAAAAGATATACAGTGCTATTTTAAAAAATAGAAAAGTTTAACTTCACTTAAGCAGACTGACTCTATGTTTGTTGTAGCAAGTCACACGATATTGCACATCTTTCTTCAAATTACTGTTTTAAGCATAGATATTTAAAATGTTAAATTATAAAAAAAAAATTTTTAATGTGAAAAGTACATGATTTTTTTTTAACTTCTGCAAAATTAATTTGGTTTATAGGAAGTGTTTCAGTTCTTCCTACTATCTTATACTTAATTATTGGAGTACTTAAAGAAACTGCTGTGAAATTGCGAGATGGTCAGTTACCATTGACAGTTGCTGCATCTCTACAAGCTCTTAAAGGACTCTTGTCGTCTCCGATGGCTCGAGCAGAGAAGAGTCGGACTGCTTGGACTGATCTTCTACGTAGCGCTTTGGTCACAGTGCTTGACTGTTGGGATGAAGGTGAGTACAAATTTGGAGGTTGTGTGTTTAAAAACAAAACAGCAATGTTTGGCTGAAAGGTTGTTTGACTTCCTGCACATCTTAAAAAAAAAAAAAAAAAAAAAAAGACAAATATCTAGTCACAGGAGAATTAATTGGCTATCAAATACTGTTGAAACTGCAGTGCAGTCATGTCCCTACAGTTTATATGTGAAGTCATCATCTGTAAAGGCATAAAGGTGGGATTATGGGTTTACCCCTGATTTATGTAGTGCCACAATGTAGTTCCACGGTACAACAGAATTAAAATGAAGAAGGAGGAGTTATAGCTTCAGTGTGCAGTGCAGCATAAAAGACAGCTGGACCACATACAGCTTCTCTGCAAAGAATTAATGTCTGTATGAAGGCAAAGGACATTCAAACAGTAGTTTAAGACAAAAATGTTTTTTGTCTTAAAGTTAGCTTTCTGTGTGCTTCTTTTAAACTTCCCAAGTTTGTAGTATTTTTAACATTCCTTATGTTTAATCTCCAAGTTGTGATTTGTTGTTGGAACTTGTGTTTGTAGTGCTGTTTTGTTAAGTTATAACAAATGAATATATGTTCTTAATGCAAATTTTACACTAGTCTCAAAGTAGCTTGGACCCTTGTATGTCTCACCAGCTCTTCAGAGATATTTATTACACTTTGTACAGAGGAACAATGGAATAGGAGCATACTGTTATTTCTAAATATATGCATATAACCACCCCTGAATTCCTATTTTGGCCTTGCCTTTTATTACAGCAAAAGTAATCTCAGATTCCTAAAGAAACATGGACATTGATATTTTTACTCCATGTCTTTCTAACACTTGAATTCGTCAAATTGCATTTTAACGCAAATCTAACAGACTCTTACTTTATTGACAGCAGGTGGACTTCTCCAAGAACTTGATGAAGTTAGCCTGCTTACTGCTATTACAGTATTTGTTGTATCTACCAGTCCAGAAGTTACTACCCTAGAGTGCCTTCAAAAGCGTTGTATTGAGAAGTTTCAAATAACACTCGACTCAAAAGATCCTCTTGTAAGTACTGGTGAAGTTATAAGAATATCAGTATCATGTTAAATGGATTGTAGCTTATTTTCTGTTCAGTTGTTTCACTTGTCCTGTGCGTTGATTGCAGTTAATTCTGTCTGGATTATATCTGTTGTATTTTAAAATGCAGTTTGAACCAGTTAGCAAGAACACGTCCAGCAGTGCATCTTATGATCTTTTTTATCCTGTATGCCTCTGGGGTGTTTTTTTTGCATCAGACTCAAAGCTTTATACATTGATAAGTACATGATACGGACGTGTAGTTTTTCAGGCACCTTTTTTATTCTATCCATTTTATTTTCAACACACAGATACTGTTTTTTGCACAGGAAGTCCCTCAACTGTGGGTCTCTGGGAGCTGGAGCAAGTACCGCTATGTAACTTTTACAGTCTCATGAGCATCAGCTCCTGGCCACTGCTGGAGGCAGCGTATTGAACTAGATCAGTGCTTTGTTCCAATGTAGTATAAATATTTTTACGTAGTTGCTTTAGACTGTAATGTCACAGTTCATCTGTTACTGTCCTCATATAAAAAAAACAATGTAGCAGAAAAACTGTTTATCGTCATTGCAAACACAAACGGCTTTTCTAGGAGTCAGAACTTCATCACTCTGAAAGTCCAGCCCTGAAAATAATTTCCATTAGATTTCATATTTGACTGTGAGAATTCACTGTAAACTGGTTTTCTTGCATTCTCTCTGTATATATTCCATAGTAACAAAAACATTAAATAAAGTTACTATTACTGGAGAAATAGCTTTAAGAAAGTACTTTACTACCCGCTGATAGGAAGCTGTGGATGACAGCTATAAATGTAGAAGTGGTAGTATGCATTTGCAAATTTTATCCAGGTGTTTAGGCATCTGAGCCTTTCAGAAATTGTGGAGAAACTTGACAGTTTCAGTCCTGTTGACTTCAATGACATGCTGCTGCACCATTTGAGGCTTTCTTAAATTGCACCTACAGTTTGACAGAGGTAGTGCTTACATTTTAAACACCTATTTTAAATCAGCTGTATTTTTGGGAAAAAAAAAAAGGGTGCATTTTCAAGACATAATCTTCACACAAAGTTTAGTGGTTTTTTTTCCTTAACTGAATAATGTAGGAAGATGTAGGGCTTGGGGAAAAGAAATTGAAAGCATGATCTAATTTCTCTTTAATAATTTGGTTACAAATTATAAAGCTTCTATAAAATATTATGCATTAGCAGCCTGCAACGTCATGAATTTTCAAGCTGCTGGGCACATTTTTCCCCATCTCTAAAATTTTATCTGACAAGCTGTGAATTTTAAAACATCTGACATGTATGTTTAACACTTTGTAACTTCAAATTTGATTTTCCCTTTAGGTACAGTATAAGTGCTACCAGCTGCTACACTCCATCTTTCAGCATCCAAACAAAACGGTGTCGTATCCTTATATTCATTCTTTAGCACCATCCATTGTGGGAAAACTGCAGGAAACAGAAAAAGCAAAACCTGAAAATGCTGCTGAACTTCAGGTCATTCAGGAGGGAATAAAGGTGGTTACAGCTCTTACAGCCACCGCTGAGGAAGAGCACCGTAAGTTACTTCTGTTACTGGTATCTGAAAGTAACAAATTAAAACAAAATGACCACCAGGCATTGAGTTCTGAATACTAATTACTAACAAAATTGCTGGCAATAGTGTTGGATCTTTTTGCCATACAGTTCAAATAACACCTGCAGCTTTATAGTTTGTGTTGAATGTTAACTTAGAGAAGTACTTACAGTTAGGATTTGAAGCTGTCTCTTAAAAAGTGTGTGTTTGTGTTTTCAACGTTCATAGGTGTTCATTTGGTTGCCTGCCTTCTTCCCATTCTTATTTCCTTTCTTTTGGATGAAAATGCCCTGGTTTCTGCTACAAACTCAGCAAAAAATCTGCATGAGTTTGCTCTGCAAAATCTGATGCAGATTGGTCCGCAGTACTCGTCTGTTTTTAAAAAGCTAATGGCTTCCTCTCCAACTATGAAAGCCAGGCTTGAGTCAGCTGTGAAAGGCAATCAAGAAAGCATCAAAGTGAAGACTGCTAAGCATGCCAAGAACCCTGGGAAGAGTTCAAGCATTCAGCTGAAGACCAATTTTCTCTAAAGTCTCATATTGTCATTTTATGCACTTCCATATCAACAGCAAAAAAGGTCCCTTTTAATTTCTAAATAGAGTAGGATCACTGTGAGTTGATCTCATATATTTCAGTTTGCACTCAAGTATCACAGAAAGTTTTTCAGAGAGAACAAATCTCTAGATAACTTTCTGGTACTGTAAGATTTCTTAAACATCGCTAAACACTATGAATAAATTGTATCAGAGGTCATCTAATCTACTTTTTTTTAATTTTTGGATTATAATATCACATATGCACATACCTATGGTAAAAAAAAGTATAGTGAACTTTACCACAGATATACGTAGGGGCAGCCCATACTTAGCCATTAAGTAAAACTAATTTTGTTTTAAATCAGTGTTTGTCAAAAATAAGTTACCCTGATTGGTTTTTGGATTTAAGTGAGACAGAAATTTACTTTCAGGTTGTAATCTATCCTAATTACTCATTTAGCACACTGCATCGTTAAGCCAACTGATGAAATATCCTGTAAGCCTTAGAGTAGGTGGTTGTCATTCTCAGAAAATTCAACTCAGTAAAGGTAAGATCAATAGCTTTAATGCTAATAACTTCTTGAGCTGGCCGAGTTTTACCAGATGCTGTTAAATACAGCTCTCCCGTGCTTCGTCACCGAGGAGTCCGTAGTGCTTTACACAGCGGGACTGTTACGCGTGTGTGAGTACTGGCAGGCTTGGTGCCTTGCTGCTTGACACAGTCTCACTTTTCAGGATGTATCCTTGTGCTAATTCTGCATTGGGAACCCAGGCAATTGAAGCGTGCATATCTTGTCCAGGTAGGACAGCAATTTTAATACACCGTGCCTCGATTCAGACATCTGCTCTCTCTGGATGTATGTTTCCTGATCTTTAAATGATCGGTTATATAAATGTAAAGCACCGAAATTTATGTATCTCTGCAATGAGAGATGGACATATTTGAAGTCAGCTTGTCTTGTGTCAAATAAAGTGCAACAAACTCAGCATAAGGAGTATTTAATTAACATTTTTAGGAAGGAACATATTTTAATATAGAAAAATAACTATCAAAATTGCAATGGCTATGAAGTATTTTCTACATAGAGTGTATTGATTTCTTTCTTAATACTGGCATTACCTAAACCAAACACTATCAAACCGAGAATACTATTTCCTTCTTGAATCTAATTACTCTGAGAGAAAGAACAAAAAAAATAAAAAAATTTACAAAACTGAGAAACACTCCGTGACTCAGGAAAAGTGTGATGTACTGTATTTTATTAGAAGTTTTGTATATAAATATAATTGTAAATTGTACAGAATTAACCATTTGACCAAAGTTGTAACAACTCATTTTTCTAATTTACATAAATAAAGATAATTTTCTTCACTTAAGATCTGTCTTAATCTTTTTACCTAGTAGCAGAGGAGCTTTAAGGATTCTCCTAACAGAAGGGAAACGTTTCTGCACTTGCTGAGAAAGTTAGTTGCTACAGTAGGTATATGTGGCTACTTTTTTTCATTTTCTGTAGTGCGTAAGAACATCATTAACCTTTTTTCCACTAACATTTTTTCATGTTGATAATACAATCTGATTAAATCCTACTTTGCAGAGAGACTTTTAAGAAGCGTGCTCGAATTGCAAGAACACCAAGCAAAGCTGTTAAAATCCCCAAAATTAAAGTTTTAGAAGAGCCTAGTCGTAGATTTCTTAGAGGGAGCGGCTCATTGTAGTAGCTCACAACTGAGTCACTGAGAAGTGCTGTAATTATGTCATCTGATGTTTCTTGGTCTTGTAGCCATATCTGGGAAAGCACCATTTTTAACATCCCTGTGTGCTCTGAATGCAGAAGCAAAAATGATTCGATAAAGAGAACCATTTCTATTTCTTACTATAAATTAGGACATAGATGGGAGCTTAATTTGTCCAATAATTAATTTATCCACATAGTAAAAATACCTGTGTCTTCAGTTATACTTTATTATATACATTTACAACGAAGAGTTGTAATAATGAATAAACCTACTTGTGTAAGGTTTTATAAATTAGTCTTACAGCTGTTACCTTGTTTCAGTTTAAAAAAAAAAAAAAGAATTTGGCTTTCAGATGCCTTTCATGCAGTCTTGTTTATTTACAAGGAACATGCATAAATCACTTTTTTCCCCTGAAGAAGTAAGACAGTAGAGCAGTTTTGGTTTTAATTCCACTCTTATTTTTTAGGCATTGTTTGGCATTCAAGCTTTATTTAACCAAATAAAAAGAGCCAAACATATGTTTAGCCGTAAACCGAAGTCTCACTTTTACAGCTCCTGCTTCTTGTATTCCCGGCCTCTGTGCTGATTGTTTTTCTTGCCATTTATCTACAAACACCAGTAAATTTTCTTCCAGTAAATTGTCTTTGCAGTGAAGCATGTGGCCTGCATGCATGTTTGTTTTGTATGTATCCACTGTTTATTCTAAAGTTTGATGCTTTTGTGTGACAATAGTTTTGCTTATGCCTAACTTTAAGTGTATATATATAAATATGGGTACATCACAAACGTAATGTTTAAGTGCTATGCAAAAATTATTATCAGACAACTTTCTGTTGACTGCAACAAACCAGAATTAGTCAAAGCATAGTTGGGATGTGATTGTTTTTAATTGGATACAAGTCTGAACAGCTGAATAAGCACCATTTCTAATGGTATCGCTTAGGCTAGAAGAAGTCTGAGACTGATCTGGTGTGTTCCGAGGTGCGGGAGTCGCCTTCAGGCTGACATTCAGCATCAGTCAAGTGATGCACATATCACCATAAAATAAGATTATCAAATGCATAGGAAGCATATCGGGATTTTTATTAATAAAAGTCAGTTAATAATTGGAATTTCCAGAGGGATTTTTCTTCCCCAAAGACTGCCACAGCAGTAACAACGTGTGCTGTTGCAATTGCAGGAGGGGTGAAGTGATCTAAGATAGTTTGCTAGTTTATCAGAAGTAGTAGTAATACTGCTTAGTAGGGAACAGGCAGCAAATTTAATGAAATTTCAATGTAGTTTTAATCTGAATGAAGTTGGATGTATTTATGGCAGTGACAACATATGAGGGGTCACTGTGACAGTCTCCTCTAAAGCTTCATCCCTAATCTCACTGCTAGGTATATGTTTATCATTTTCAGCTTCCTGAAATACAACACGGTTTTATCAGTAGAGAGCAGATCAGAAGCTTTTTCCTTGAAGAGCACACTGTTTTCTAACCAGTAGTGGTCTAATAATAAACTATTCATGTTTTCTGCCACTGAGAAACTTGGCCAATGATACTTTAAGCAAGACAAGAAAGCAAAGAGCAAGATCTCTAGAAAATTAAAACTGTTCAGTTTTTAAATAACATACAGCAACATAGATTATTCTACTTCTCTGCACTGTGGTGTTAAAAAAACCACAGGAAGAGTCACTCCCTTGTGTGTGAAAAGTAGCGCTGCTTGGCCAGCCCTGATCTTGTGGGCAGTCCTCTGGATTGCTTTTTGCACGTGGGAAACTTATGTGGCCCAATTACACACTGAAAAGTCAAGTTGCTCTTAAAACACAGACATAATGAAATAATTGTTGACTTGCAACCTCAGATCCTTAAAAACAGCCAGTAAATTGAAATTGTACTGCTGTGCAGCCAGTTGTTCCAAGAAGGCTCAGATTTGTCCGTAGCGCCCTCGTCTAAGCAACCTTGGAGCTTTTGCTCCAGGTGACACTTCACACAGGACTCCAATTAGCTGAAGTACGTAGCAAGCACTTTGCTTTTACATATGCTGCTCAAGCCATTTAGTGACAGTGGGCTAAAGCTTCAAAGATACAAAACTAAAAAAGCTCATTTGGCCAGACATAGCACACTTTGCCTGCCTCCAACGTAACTTCCAGTATTCATTATTTAAAAGTGATTATGTAAAATAAAGTAAACCAGATACATTTGATAGATTGCATGGTCTGCACACGAAAATGCTGAAGATGTCGGTGCTACACCACCAACATCTCCAAAATGTGGTGTGGTTCTCCTTTTGGTTTTGATGTACAGTTGTAGATTTATTTTATTTTTTTTTTCCCTCCTAAAATGTTCTCTGGAGAATAAATGGTTTATTACATATAACAATGAAAGGGGAAGTGGCATCTAAATGTAGCAGAAGTAGGGCTGAAGATTTTGTCTGAAAAGCAGGTCAAAGCAAAAGCAGGCTTCCAAAACCTCCTGAAGTAGAATCTGTGGGAGATCAACCCCAATTCACTCACTCCGCAGCTGAATACCAGTTTTGCTCTGTGGTCCTGTCACCACTTCCATAGCCCCAGTCACCTGAAGTGCAGAATGAGATTCTAGGTGGCAGAATGTGGCATGAAGGCCCCTTCTTCTGCGCTCGTCTCCAGCTGCTCAACAGCAGCACTCGCAGGAGAGCACCAACAGGGAGGATGAGTCCCAGCCACAGCGCAGCCCACTCCCCGTGTGCGGGTCAGGGCGTGTGCCAGCGGGGCTAGTTACTGCACAGAAAAATGTGTGGTTTATATACGCAAAGAAGTTTGCAGATGAGGAAAGTCCGTTTCTAAAAGTTGCTGGTAAGAAGCTAAAATTTAGTAGGAGCCGACTGATAAAATCCTATTCGAAGCTGCGGATTGCAATTGTCTAGCTTAAATTTGGATTCTTTTAAACCAATGTTAATATTCATGTATTAAAATTTATGTGAATTATTTCACTGTCAATGAAATGCAATATAGAATTGCTGAGATTCCATGTTGCTACTAGTGGGAATTTCCTTTTTAAAAATACCTTCTCTGGGAAAAATTTTGACTATGATATTTTTGTAAGCATTTTTTTCTGCCTAGTGCCTCAATTCTCAGTATCCTTTTCCACAAGAAAAGGAGAAGGTTTTGCATGAGACACATTTTCAGTGCAAGTACAGGCCTGAGGGATTCTGCAAACTATTTTGATTTATATCTGAATATAGAAATATTATGCAATTTGAAAATACAACCTAGCATTATGAAGGCAAATGCTCTTAACCTCATCTCTCATGTAAGGTTCATGGCAAACGCCAAGAAAAGATTTCACAGATGTGTGCGTGTTTTACAGCAAACACAGACACAAGGATAACTGGTTCAAGCTATTGCTACCACATCTACTTGAAATTCAGTTAGAGGACTAGAAGATTTTGCCCATAGGAAAAAATCGTGTTTTCTTCTGTAATGCTTCATGAACTGTATTTATTAAATGAGCAAGGGTGGGATAAAGAGGGGTAATAGAAGAGATAATGCAAGTAAATGTTTTTTCACGTCTA